CTCTCTCACACACACACACACTCTCTCTCTCTCTCTCTCTCTCTCTCTCTCTTTCTCTCTCTCTCTCTCCACACCCTGTCCCTTCTCCCAAATGCCTTGCCAATGCAATGACGGTCATCATTTCTCGCTTCAACACCTCTTTTGAGCGTCCATTTTGCCTGGCCCATCGCCTGAGGACTTCCTTCCTCGCCCCAGTGTCCTGGCTTCGGGCTACTCGCGCTACAGAATGAAGTGGAGAGGTTCGCGCCTCACTCCGAGCTTTGTAGTTGCACGTACTCGTCACGTGGGAGCCCCACACAGAGACACGTCATGGGCACTAACTTGTATGTTTGTTAGTTAGTTAGTTAGTTTGTTTGTTTGTTTGTTTGTTTGACATTGTGAAGGTCTGGATACGTCTTCGATGCTTGCTACGGTGGGGATTTTGAGTCTAACAGAAACTGTCTCAAAGATCCTCGCTTGTTTAGCTTGAGGGTGTCTTCCAGAAGAGTTATCAAAAGTTGAAATATTTAATTGGAATATGCAGCAGATGTATTCAAAAGTGGCTAGATCAGAAATTAAGATGGATGCTTGGCGGTCCCCACCAGTATGTTCCGCTTTTTTGTTTTTTGTAATCTATTTCTCTGTTGTTTCTGTCTTTCTTATATTTTTTCTTGGCGCTTGATGCCATAATTATGTCCACTTGATTCTTAGCAAGGAAAACATATCTATTAAAGAAAAAATAATTTTATTAAATGTAGTCGAAACTGTCTAAGACGGCCACCCAATTGTCGAGGAGTGAAGAAGTTGTCTTAGACATTTGGACGTCCTGGACAGTGTCATTTTACAGAAAGACGAAAGGATTGAAATGTGGAGTGATCATAGACAAATGTCTTGGACAACTGGTCGTTAGAGCAGGTTCGACTGCCTGTAATAGATTTGACACAGGATTCACTCACACACAGAGACTGTGGTAGAGCCAATAGAGCGCAGTAACATTATTACGTCACACTCAACATGCCAACAGACAGGCACGATCGGGGCGCGAATCTTTCCTCCTCTGCTTCTCGTCTCGCCGGATTTCTCTCCATCAGGACTGAGGAGGAAGAGGTGGTGGAGGCAAACCAATTTGTCCATGCAGCCGGCAGAATGACACAATTGACCGAGACGAGAATGGTAAATGAAGCGCGGGAAATCTGTCTGCTACTGTCTTTCTGCTCCATCGAAGTTTCTTCCCCGGGAGAGCATCTTTGTGTGAGCTGGAACAAGGCTCGTATAAGCCGTATGTTCGAGCGTGGCGGCCTTTTTCTGATCTAAGACCTCTTCCTTTTTCCCCCCCCAATGTCGAGAGCTCAGAACTATACCGTTTTATCTCCGTCATAAATAATGATCATACTGATGGAATCTCTTAACTGCATGTTTCTTTTGATTAGCTCATGATTTATCATATGACATGCGGCAGAATAATGGGAAAATAAATATTTACATCGGACAGGGTTTACATGTATGAGAGAAAAGATACAATTGGAAGCTCAATATGACTTTGTATTTCTATATTATAATACTTCTCTTTGGAACATATTGAGTATAGTACATTTAAGCAGACCCGTACTGATATAAGATAACAGATAAAAGTTTCGAGGATCCCCCCCCC